ATAAAGGCATGCCGAGTAATTTTCTGCCGATATAGATAACTGCCTAATGGTTTTCATGAGTACAGAACACAGAGCTACAGAACAGCTGTCATGTTGGAGAACGTTTTAAAGAACACTAAGCTGGCTTTCATCACCAACTTAAAACAGCTGCATTACACTGATCATATTTCAGCTAAAAAAGCCCAATTGGGAAAAAATGGCATGATCCACAGTTTTAAATCCCTTGTTTTAAAACAAGATCAGCACAAATTCAGAATTTATCACACTTTTTTTAACCTCTTACACAGTACTGCACTATGGCACACGAACCGCATCCACCTCACCCCAAGTGAGCTAAAACTACAATTCTGAGCTAACCTGAATTGAATCCAGAACATAAGAGCTAGAATAAAGCAATTATTTTAGAGAATCTATCCACTGATTCAATTTAGATCTTCTTAGAAGTAATACCTGAAGTGCTAAGAACCAAAGTACACACAAAATTACTTAAGAGTGCAATTTATTTAAACATTAGATAATCAGAATGTTAATTTTTGTGCAAAGACTATTTTGCTAAATAATATGCTCCTCAACACTAGTGCCTATGCAAATACCCAAGCTAACTGAATCTCTTTAGCTGTACCTTTGGAGTTAATTTATGCACCCCTAGTTATAGACATAAAAAACACAGTTCTTCGTACCTGACAGTTTATCATTAACACCGGTCACTTCTGAGTTCAGTCGATACATGCATTTCAATCAGTTACCCTCCCAATACCCTATAAAAAGTTGTAAATCTTATTCTCCTTTGCTACGTTGGCTTCTGCTTCCAAGAAAGCTGCAACAGAAATCTCCCTATAGGACAGATGTGCTCACACTAATCTCATTTCTCAATATGCAAAGTTCCCATAAAGTTCAAACTACTTGCCTTCGCTTTCAGAGCTCTGCTCACAGTTTTTCTGTGCGTGCCCATCTCCTACTCGATTCCCCCTTCCCTGCATGCGTTCTGTTAATCTTACCTGTACAGCTGACTTCATCTCACTCAGCTTTATAGTTCCTTTTCAAATCGCTCCTAACATATCTACCACACCTTACTGGAGAAGCAGGCACCTTTCCCTCCAAGCCCATACATCCTTGGGAGGTACCTGCACGCTTTGATAAGGGATTAGCAAGCCTAAAGACGCACATTGGCAAAAAAAATAAAATCCTCAGAGGAACTGTTACTACAAAGGTGATATTTAGGGTAGTTACTTCATTTCCTCTGGAGCCTAATGTTTTAAAATTTCTTACATCCATAGTGTTTCTCTGTTCGTTTAAAAAGACGGAAATTATCTCAGTATCTCCATAATACCTAGGAAATTCAGAGTCAGTGTTGGTACAACTGTCGGTCAAAATGGGAAGAAATCACAGGTTTTGGAAGGGCTATATAACCTGACATTCTATTAAAAAAAAAAAGCTAAAAAATTCTTATGCAAGATTCTGAGGGAGAGTATATCTTGGCTGTCCAATTCCTTTCCAAATTAAATAAGGCAATACAGAGAGCCTGCAAAGCAATTAAACCAAAAACGTCCTTTTACAAAGGCATCAATACAACACACACAAAAAACTGCTGCAAAAAATACAACAATGAAGTAAACTCCTACAAGTATACTGAGTCTGCCTTCGCAGCATTTTAGAAACCGATGGCAAAGATCATCAAAACACCTCTTGGCTTAGCTCAGAGCTGGCTGAACTAATGCCTTTTGCTGAGGCTTCCCTCCAGCACACACAAGGAATGAAGCGATCCTCCAGCTAAACCACGAGTCACCAATCGATCCCATCTCCCTTCAGCAACTTCCCACTGCAAGACGCCGCATTATCTAGGCCCCTCTCTTTACACGAAGTATTACAAGACTGATACTTCAGGAACCCACATGTGTTTTACTGTGGACCTGGTTACAGAATCTTTTTCATGCAAAAGACTATGTTGTATGAATATACAAAACTGTAGCAAGAATAAATGAAATAGCATTTCACACAACAGATGTCACAGCAATTGTCCAATGACTCAATAATGATCGATCTGAGGATACGTATCAATGTTTCTCAAAGTTCTGGAACTGCATCCCTACTTGCACCTACACATACTTCCAGTTTTTAAAAAACAGATCCTGAAAAATACCCGAGTTGGCCATTTGAACTTCACTTTTCCAACACTGCACACAATACTTCAGAAAACACTGCAATATTTGCTCTAACTTTAAGCACGTGCCTCGGGTGCCTTACGCTGACTGCAGAAAATGCCTCTCTCTCTCCATCCACTGACTACAAAGTCAAGTCAGGTTCTCACATTAGGGTGTTCCAAGTCATACCCACATTAGACATTTAAAGCAGCTTAGAGCAGACAGGTCCATAGTCTAAATGATTCATCTGCTGACTTAATTCTTTTTTATTAATTTTTCCCCCACTTTCTGAAAATTCCTCATTTTTAAATGCCTCTTCTTGACAACCAAATAAAGAACAGAGTATTTTATTATGTTCTAATATCACAAT